TTAATACGTTCGTCATTGATCAAATTTATTATATTTGCGATAGGGATTATTACGTTCGTCATTGATCAAATTTATTATATTTGCGATATGTGTTATTACGTTCGTCATTGATCAAATTTATTATATTTGAGGTAGGGGTTATTACGTTCGTCATTGATCAAATTCATTATATTTGAGGGGCGTACAAGTGGTTCAACTGAAATATGTAAGTCACCAATATCAAGACCCGAAATGACAACCGTATCAACCCATGTAACATGTGTAAGAAAAATAACAACAGAACGGTTCATCCTGGATGCCGCTATGATGTTATTTGCCCCAAACAATATCACAAACGGCTTCTACATATGTTTCAACAGGAATGCCGTCAATATTCTCACACCTTCTGGCATGATTCCTGGTGAGTTTTACATTTGGTGACGATGAAGGCCTCTTCTCAGCGGCCTTCATATTGGTCGCCAGAATCTTACCACCGTCGAGGCAGAAAAACGCCTCCAAAAACCACAATAATAACAAAAACAACAAATATAAATTACTCAGGTAAAAGGTAGACACACTGTATATACCACTGTGTAAAAACACGGGCGCACAACGAACGCAAAAACGCAAAACAGGCAGAAAATCGGGGAGCGCTGAAAAGCACAGCGTTCACCCGATTGTATTGTATTGTATTTGCCATTAGGTGTTATTACGTTCGCCATTGATCAAATGTATTATATTTCCGATAGGGGTTATTACTTTCGTCATTGATCAAATTTATTATATTTGCGATAGGGGTTATTACGCTCGCCATTGATCAAATTCATTATATTTGCGATAGGGGTTAATACGTTCGGCATTGATCAAATTTATTATATTTGGGGTAGGGGTTATTACGTTCGTCTTTGATCAAATTCATTATATTTGCGATAGGGGTTATTACTTTCATCATTGATCAAATTTATTATATTTGAGGTAGGGGTTATTACGCTCGCCATTGATCAAATTTATTATATTTGCGATAAGGGATATTACGTTCGTCATTGATCAAATTTCTTATATTTGCTATAGGGGTTATTACGTTCGTTATTGATCAAATTTATTATATTTGAGGTAGAGGTTATTACGTTCGTCATTGATCAAATTCATTATATTTGCGATAGGGGTTATTACTTTCGTCATTGATCAAATTCATTATATTTGCGATAAGGGTTATTACGTTCGTCATTGATCAAATTTCTTATATTTGCTATAGGAGTTATTACGTTCGTTATTGATCAAATTTATTATATTTGAGGTAGAGGTTACTACGTTCGTCATTGATCAAATTCATTATATTTGCGATTGGGGTTATTACTTTCGTCATTGATCAAATTTATTATATTTGCGATAAGGG